AGTTTTTCGAAAAGGAGAAATATAGGTATTCTATGAATAATTATATGATAAATATTATTTATTTATTTTTAGAAGCGCCTCGTATTACGTCGGTCGATGTTAGCGAAAGATCAATCTCTCTACGCTGGACTATCAAACCCTGCAGTCCAACCCACCCTATTACTGGATATGAAGTAAAACTTGCAGACACAACAAAACCATATGTGAAATTCACAAATACATCGGAATGGACTATCTACAACTTAAAGCCGTACACTAAATACAATGTGTCAATAAGGGCCGTCAAGCAAGTGGGATATGGAGTATGGAGCATCGTCACAACAATCAGAACTGCTATTGCAAGTATGATACTTTTGTCTCAGTGGCTTTTTAATTTCCTTGAAAAATGGATTTCAGGAGTTTTCAAGGACTGAGTTACATGAACGCTGCCATTAGAATATTATTTTTGAGTATTTCTCTTGACAGTGAAGCTACTAATGACGTTTTTTCTTGTATTTGTTTTTCATCAAGAGCCTTTGGGAGTTCCATTTGAAATCAAAGTCTCTGAAAGAACTTCACAATCCATTACTTTGCAATGGAAGGTAAATAACTTACTAGCAGACGTAAAGAAAGACATTACTGCTTTTCATATAGTGTACCATTTTCGATTTTCCTAATGTTACATTTCAATTTAGCTAGAGCATGCTGACTTGATTAATGGTCCATTCAAGGGATACGTGATAAAGTACACACCACAAGGAGGAGAAACCAAGATGGAAGAGGTGGTTTGTAAGGTGGTTAAGAAATGTACAACGCATACTCTGACATCACTACGCAAGTATACACCTTACAGTTTCAGAGTAGCCGTAATGAATGAAAGGCTCACTGGTCCATTTAGTACAGAACAGCACACACGGACGATGCAAGATAGTAAGATTGCTTATCTTAAAACTTTCTTCTTTTTTTTCTCTCAAATTGATCAGAAATTTTATGAGCAAAATTAGATAAAAGCACAATGCCAGTAGATACACAGAAAGCGCCAAAGATCAAATTAAGACAATTTGAGCCGGCGAGTGCAAATGACTTTGGGTTAGCATGCTGATTTTACAAGATCTTTGCCAATAACTTTGGTGTGCATTGTTATTATATTTCACTGAAATACCAGCCTAATCATTTTTTCTATGGGAATAATAACAAAAACCAGACCTATTTGCATATGAACTCCTAAATAAATCAATTTGGAAATG